ATATCCATGAAGAACATCACGAGCACCACTCATTTAATCATTCATCTTTTTATTTTCTTTTTTATTCCAAATTACAAAAGAGAAACAGATAAGGAGATCTAAGTAGATATCCAACAAAATCATTTGAAAATTTTAAAAATATTTTATCAATGTAGTTGAATTGTATTTACGCATATGATACTGAGAGATTATATATATATATATATATCATTAATGAATTGAAAAAAATTCTACTTTTTAAAAAATTACAATGATATAAATATTTTTAAAATATTCAAAAAGTAACAACTAATACTTATTTTTAGGTCTATTTTGAAAATATAAATGAATATATAAAAAAAGATAAAATTAAATATAGAAAAAAAGAAAAAAAATCATTTCCAAATCTATAAAAAATGATAAAAATATTTTTATCTAATTATATTCAAATGTGGATTGAACATATATATATATATATATATATATATATATCATTAATGAATTGAAAAGAATTATATTTTTTTAAAAATTACAATGATGTAAATATTTTTAAAATATTCAAAAAGTAACTACTAATACTTATTTTTAGATCTATTTTGAAAATATAAATAAATATAAAAAAAGATAAAATTAAATATAGAAAAAAAGAAAGAAAATCATTTCCAAATCTATAAAAAAATGATAAAAATATTTTTATCTAATTATATTCAAATGTGGATTGGACTGAATAACTCAACAAATTAAAAGAAAAATGACCAAACCCACATCTAATTTAGACCTACCATCCAATTTGGTCTCAAACCCTTGACCAAAAGCCCAACAATTATCTAAATCCAATTGATTGAAAAGGTTTTTCAAAACCCAACACCCAATTGGAAATTTATCAAGAGAGAATAATGAAAAAAATGGTTTTTGGGTGAAAAGATCATGAAACATAGACTCTTAACTAGATTCAAGTATTGTTAAATACAAGAGATAGTAGTCCTAGAGACCGTTTAACAAAATAATCAATAAAGATTTAACAGAAATTTAACACTAGTAAGACTTGGTCAATTTATCAAGTTTGACCATATGTAGCATACATAAGAGAAAATGCTAAACTGCCGTAGCAGTTACTGTAGATTAACTGTAGCAGCTTTTTTTTTTTTTTTTTACTTCCTGCCCGCTTGCTTTAGCCAATGCAAATTTTTTTGATTAATTTTAAGAGTTAGTTGAATTTTTTTACACCAATAATTTGTTTAATATATTTCAATAATCTATTTGATAATATGCCATGTGTATTTTTATCTTGTTGATCAATTTTTTTTAATGTCATTCTACGTAATCAAACCCTAAAGTTGTTGATATTTGTATGAACAAACCCGGCCATCATGGCCTTGAAAGATTTGATTAATGAACCAGCAATATCGTACTGTTCATTCAATAAGTATTTATAGAAGTTAGAGAGTCCTAGTCAATTATAAAGCTGGAGTTCCTATTTACGGAGTATTCCTATTGTGGAGACTTTCTTATAACTAGGGACACTTCACGGGAAGGATAATTACAATGGAGAAGGATAAACATAAATCGTGTTTATCCTTTATAACTATCCATATCCTTATCATCCTCCCTTAAGCTGAGTAACGGATTGCAACTTCGACTTGTCACGTAAAAGAAGAAACTGTTGCTTGGATAATGCCTTGGTCGGAATGTCGGCAATTTGATCATTGGTTGAGATGAAGCTAACTATGAGTCTCTTCTTCTTCACCTTGTCCCTAACGAAGTGAAAATCATCAATCTCCAAATGCTTAGACCAAGCATGAAAGATTAGATTTACTACAAGATAGGTGGCGGAGATGTTGTCACACCATATGACGAGCGGCATGGTTGTTGCAATGCCTATTTTCTGCAAGAGAGATTTGATCCAAGTGACTTCGGATACTATGGTTGTTAAGGCACAATACTCTACATCGATAGATGAATAGGCAACCATTTTTTATTTCCTTGAGCACTAGGACACAAGATTTTCGCTTAGATAAATAACGAACCCCGTAGTACTTTTCCTGTCATCTAAATCACCACCCCAATCAGCATCGGTGTAGGCATGTAAATGTAATGAAGTAGTTGGCTTGAAGTGTAGCCCATATTCGGTTATGGAACCCAAATAACGCAGTATACTCTTGATTGCGGACACGGTGATCCATGGTTGGGGCATGCATGAATTGTGCTACCTTGTTAACTACAAAAGATATATATGGTCTTATGAGGGTAAGGTATCGAAGTTCCCCAACAATGCTTCGGTATAATGTTGGATTGTTAAATGAAGTTCCTGCCATGGTCGGTTTGATAGAGGTATTGGCGGGTGTGGAAATAGAGCTAGCCTCATGCATCATTGCCATGCACAAGATATCTCGAATGTACTTGGATTGAGTGAGGATAAGTCCTCCCTCGCTCTAGTGAGCCTTAATGCCTAAAAAGTAGGCAAGTTTACCTAAATCCTTGTTTGCAAACTGTTGTTAGAGTTTTTCTTGAGATGTTGGATGGGGCGACCATTATTCCTAGTTACAAGAATATCATCCACACAAATAAGACAATAGATGATGTCAGTACCTTTGATATAGATGAAAAGGGAATTATCCGATTGGGAGCCTTTGAACCCAAGCTTAATAATTTCGGTAGAGAGACGCTCATACCATGCTCTTGGAGCTTGCTTGAGACCATACAAGGACTTTTTGAGAGCACAAACATGGTACAAAAATTTTAAATTAACATAACCTTGTGGTTGTTCCATGAAGATCGGCTTCCTCCAGAGTGCCATGTTAAAAGGGATTGGAGACATCTAGTTGCTACACTATCCAATCGTGTGTACTGCTAAGGAAACTACCAAAGAAAGCACAAACCTTACCATTATTGGTTTGATAAATGGGTTGAAAGTATCAATATAGTCAATGCCCGAGCGTTGGTGGAAGCCTTTGGCAACTAGACGTGCTTTAAACCAATCTAATATCCCATCCTTGAAGCACTCGATGCGATACACCCACTTATTTCCCACAACATTAAAGGCTTGATCATGTGGAACCAAGACCCATGTACCATTGAAATGTAAAGCGAGTCATTTTCGCATCCATAGCTGCACCATTTTGAGTATTTGTAAGCGGTAGAGTAAGTGGATGGTTCTATGATGGCATGAATGTGATGAGTTTTTGGTTTGTTGTGCCCCATTTGTGACTCGGTTTTCATGAGTTGTGAGGGATATTGAGTGCTCTATTTTGAATAACCAATGAGGTTAACTTCTAGTTGAATAAGTGGGTAGTCTTGGTTATGAAGTGGTCTGTAAGGGTTGTTGAGCGAGCGACCATCGTTTCTTGTTGGTTTGATGGAGTGCTCGTGGTTGGCGAGAGAGTTTGGTGTTGTGGCTTGAACGGGATATGCGAGACGAGTGGTGTTATGTGTTGTTGGGTGGGTGATCCAATAAGCATGTGGTTATAGGGACGTATGGACGAGTCGGTGTCCGTTGACCGTGGCTGGTTAGGCGTGTTGATATACTTGTGGCGGTGTGGGTGAGTCGGGGGCTGATGGTTGTAGCTGTCCGGGTGTCATGTAAGCGAGTGGATTTAGGAAAGTGACGGGGTCTTGTTGAGTAAGTGACACCGAAGTTGCACTTATTCCAACTTGATATAAAAAACTTGTTCATCAAACAAGACATGACGTGAGATATAGATTTTGTTGGTGATAGGATCAAGATATTTGTACCCTTTATGTAATGTACTATACCCAAAAAAGACACATCGACAAGACCAAGAGCCTAACTTATTTTTGGTGTAGGGATTTAACCACGGGTAGCATAAGTACCCAAATACACGAAGCATCTCATAGTTAGGTTTTTGTTGGAATAAGACTTCAAAGGGGTTTTATGAGCCAATCGAGAGATAGGCAAACATTTAATGGAATAAACTACGATAGAAAAGGCTTGTTCCCAAATTTAAGTGGAAGTGAGGCATGGTGGAGCAATGCTCGTCCTATTTCGGTGATGTGTCCGTCTTTTCTTTTAGCAAACCCATTTTGTTCGGTGGTTTTTGGATAAGAACTATGGTGTATTATCCTATTGTCGAGAGGTATTTTGCTAGGCTTTGGAACTCCCCTCTCCAATTGTCTTGAAACACCTTAATTGATCTATCAAAGGTTTTCTCAACTACATGGCAAAATTTGATAAAACAATTTATAACTTCAGACTTGTATTTAATAAAATAGACTCGGGAGTATTTGTTGAAGTGATCATAAAACAAAACATAATAGTAATTTATATTTAAAGATGGAATAGGAGAAGGGCCCTACAAATTAGAGCAAATTAAATCCGAGGCTCTAAATGCTTGAAAGGAAGACTTAGGAAAAGGTAACTTATGAATTTTTTCAACACTACATGCATGATAGAGAGATGTAGAATCTCGAACAGACACATTAATACTAGACTGACAAAGTGCTTGCTGTACTATTTTGAATAATGTGTGACCCAAACAAGCATGCCAAGTAGATAAGGAACTCAAGAAAACTTATGGTGAGTTACTCGGAGACGAATTGATTTGCATCGAGTGCAAGCCATCGTTAAGCCGTCCCGTATGTAAAATCTGTTTTGTGTGGATATCCTTTTATCAAAAAAATAAGTAGGAAAAAAATTTAAGAGAGACATTGTTAGATTTGGTAAAAGCACTTATGGATAGTAAATTATCGAAAGCTCGTGGAACGAGAAGAATGTTGTCAAGTGAGAATTATGTGTTATTAATTGAAAAAAGAGATGTACCGATGGAAGTGATTAGAAGAGTTTTACCATTGCTGATTGTTACTTCCTTAAGGTCATTGTATTCAAAGTGAATGCCTAAATTTTCCATATCCATTGTGAAGTGATGTGTAGCTCCGATGTCAACAACCCAAGACCGAGAGTTTTTATGGTTAGACCGTGCAAATGATAGGTTTAACTCATGCTTGGGTGAGGAGTTAAAGGGGCATCGATTATGGTTTTGTTTGGGAGAGGGGCACCGACCAGCATGGTGTCTAGTTCTTTTACGGTTATAGCATGTGATCTATGTTGGAGGCTTCGATCGGCGGCTCGAGAGGTAGAACGGGGCTCGCCGGAACCGGTTGGTCCGCTCCTACCACGGTAACGATTTCCGCCATGTGATGGGGTGAACTCACGAGTTAAAAACTAGGTAGTAGGTTACATTGAGTCGGACTTATGTTCATGATGAGTCAATTATGTTTCTTCGATTGATAACGGAGAAAATAAATTATCATAAGATATGGATGTAAGTCTTGCTTCAATGTTCCTCACAAAGGGGCGATAAGCGGTAGCTAAACCACATAGAATGTAATCAACGAGGCCATCATTTATGATGGGGTGTTGTAGGGCGACAAGTCTATCATTAGAGTTCTTTGGCATGCAACATGTAAGTCGAATATTATTATTCCACTCGTGATAGCTCAATCAAACTTATGCGTAATTGGTGTACTTATGTTTGAGAGCCGGAGGAGTATACTTGTTGTAAGTTTATTCCATGCTTTATGAGCTATGTTGACTCGACTAATTGGGTGCTCGACCGGGATAGAGGGAGCTCACAATCCAGTTGAGTACAATATGGTCTTTTGTGTAACCACTTATCAAAAGTGGCGTCCGATTTAGGAGGAGGTGGGATGCCGCCATCAATATGATGTGCAAGCTTATATCCTCTTAATAACGGTAGGAGTTGCGACTTCCATAGTGGGAGCCATTCTCTGTCCGTAACTTTAACACTTGAAATCACTATGGTATTCGGGATCTAGGGCAAAAACAAGATAGACAATAAAAGGAAAATAGCGAAAGGATCGCTTCTTTTACCATAAGATTCCGAGTGATTCATTGCAAGAGACAAAGGAGAAGTCATCCTTCTCCTTGACGGGGAACCAACCTCATAGGCCCGACAAAAGCAAACATGAATGTTACCACAAAATACAGCCTTCAACCTAATGGTATTGTCCTAGTGAAGCGGCTCGGAAAGGCAAAAGCAGAGCTTAGTTTCAAGTGGTTTTGTGTTTACGAAACCTTTAAGAGGGTTAACTTTAACTTTTAGTGGAAGATGGTAGTAGAGTGATTGTGATCATTGGAGGGGGACCCGGGCCTTACACTTCTAGATAAAAGAATCTTAGAGAGACATGTCGATCACAAACTCAAGTGATAAGGAATTCCAAACACTTACGGATAATAAAAACCAAGAACCAATGAATTAAAGTTTTGATGCTTCAAAATTTGGCTAATATTTTCAGCATTAATGGATTGGTAGCTCTATTGTATTGTAGGTTGTTAACTCTTTCAAATACCGGTGTGTGACTAAAAGGAGTTATGGTCCGGCACGCATTAGGTCTCGTTGGGTTTGTGCGAGTTGCCGTGGGTGAGATGAGCTACCGAGAGAAAGGTATGCAAGGGTCTATTTTAATGGTCAGGTTAAGGATCTATTTAATGGGTAGGTTTTTAAACCTCTTAAAGTGATACCATGAAATATTTGATTAATGTACCGGTGATATCATACTATTCATTCAATATGTATTTATAGAAGTTACGGAGTCCTAGTCAATTACAAGACTAGAGTTCCTATTTACAGAGTATTCCTATTACAGAGACTTTCCTATAACTAGGGACACTTCATCGGAAGGATAATTATAAGGGTGAAGGATAAACACAAGTGGTGTTTATCCTTTATTAGTATCCATATCCATATCGGGCCTAACATACCACGAGTGAAAACAAAAGAGCGATAGATGCTTATATTTAAAAGCGACCCAAAATTTTCTCCATTGAAGCCATCCACCTCAATCCTTGTTTAAGAGGCTTTTCGATATCAAGTTCTACATGAATTTTGACAATATGATCCCCTAGTCACTCTTGTATTTTTATAAATCAAGATAAAAAGAATAGATTATTTCATTCTCTAAAATATGTGAGATGTTGTTAATCGAAAATAGAAAAAAACTCTAGCTCCTACATGCTCCTCTCAAGCAAAACAACATTTCAAATGGCGTTTGACAAAGACAACAGAGGTTAATGCGTTGCGATCAAATGGAACTTGGTCCTTGGTTCCACGTCAAAAGGGAATGAACATCATCGGCTATAAATGAGTGTATTGCATCAAGAAACACACCGATGGCAACTTAGAGAGATACAAAACCAAACTTATGAAGAAAGGATTTCACCAATAAGAGTAAGTCGACTATACAGAGACATTCAACCCCGTAGTAAAACCAATAGCAATAAGGTGTGTTCTCTCTATTGCGAGTTACTAAATTATGGACAATCGGACAACTAGATATTTATAAAGCATTTCTTAATGGTTTCTTACGTGAGATCGTGTTTATGTAACAACCAATGGGATTCATTGATGAACTACATTCGAACTATGTGTGTCAACTACATCGCTCACTCTATAGCCTTAAACAATCTCTCCGCATCCGGTTTGCTTGTCTCTACACTTTTCTTTTACAACTTGGATTTATCGATTCCAAAATGGATTACTCTCTATCCTTCTACAATCATAGTGGCATCACTATAATAGCGTTGGTCTATGTTGATGATATCATAATCATAGAAAATTCATAAAAAATTCGATCGTCATTTTCTCTATAATTATAGTATTGAACGAGTTGCTTTTCCATCCGTGACTTAGGAACTTTGATATATTTCCTAGGCATTGAAGTGATTAATGAATCTAATGGTATCCTATGATCACAACAAAAGTACATAAAGGAGCTTTTACACAAGTCACGGTATGGAGAATTGCAAGTCAATAGGCACGCTAATGTCAAACTTTTCTAAGCTTCATTCCCATCCCGATTCTTTTCCTAGTGATGTTATTCTATATCGATAAATAGTTGGTGCATTGTAGTATATAACATTAACACATCCGGATGTTGTATTTACTATCAACAAAGTCCGTCAATTCATGCATAACTCTACTACAAACCACTTAGATAGTGGTAAAATGAATTCTCGAGTACTCGAAGGAGTCTATGCATCCTAATTTGCATATCACAAAACAAAGATATCTCATTCTACAAGATTCTCTTATTCAAATTTGGGTAGATGCTTAGATAATAGGAATTCCATGAGAGGCTTTGCTATCTACCTAGGAAATAACTTGGTGTCCTGGAAATCATGAAAACAAAAAACAATATCTAAGAGCTCCACGAAGGCTGAATATAAAGTTATGGCGGATGCGACATCGAAATCACTTGGCTATGATCTTTGCTTCTTGAATTAGGCATCTATGAACATTTTTCTCCCATTCTTTGGTGTGATAATATCGAAGCTACTTATGGGGTCGTGAATCCAATATTCCATGCACGAATAAAATACATCGAGATTGATTACCACTTTGTTAGAGATAAAGTTACCAAGGGTGAATTGCTAGTTTGTTTTATTTCTAGTCAAGATTTAAGTTGCATATGCTCGACTAAGCTTCTTTCATATGTCCGTTTGTGGACGAGTATCACAACATGCGACAACGAGTTACACTTCTACTAGAGATAAAGCGAGTAACGGATACTTATAAAGAAGCAAATTCCAACTCTACTACCTCTATTAGAGATAAAGCGAGAACGGTTGGACACAAAGATGAATTGTAGTTTATCTATACCTCTTTTTATTGTTATGTACTCTAGCTGCACTTCTACTCTAACCACTTGTGTGTACTTCCCTTTGCTATATATACTTATAGCATAACGGCTTCAATGAATATTGATCGAAAGTAATTTTGCTTAAATATACCTTGTTATAATTATAAGCAATTGTTGGGTTCATAAGCAAGCTAGGAAATGAACAAAACAAGAGTGCATTTGAAACATAAAGATTAACAATATCCCAATATCACAACATTGTATAATTAAGCTAAATACAAAAAAGGTCTTATTATTATTATTATTATTTTGATAAAGCATAATTTCCATATATATTTATTGCGAGTCATGAGCTACGTGGCTATCATTACACCAAAAAAGCCCTATGGAGGTGGAATGTTTAGGACGGTCAATAAAATCACCTCGAACTTTAATAGCTTTTAATTTACATAGTTTGTAAACAAAAAAATTATGAGGCGAGTTTATAAACCGCCTCGGTAGCAAACCTTCTTTTGTTTTTTTTTCTTTTTCGAGTTCTTTTAGAAAGAACCCCTTTACTATCCTATCCCTTTCCTCAACTTCTAAGTTTTTTCTTTAAGATCTAGATCCATATCTTAGCAAGCGGCAGATCCCTCTCATTCACCTCTCCAAGATCCAAATCCTTGCCTTGACAAACAACAAATCTTCTCCTTTTCATGGCTTCCTAGCTTTAAGCGTAACGCTATCCTTGTTTCTCTAATTCTCTTAGCAAAAGGAGAAAATGGCGAGTGAAAGTCGGGTTTAGAGAAGACCCGATATGATTCATAAGATCGGTATCACCACTTTCTTCCGAGAATGTCAAAAATCTTGATAAAGTTTACACCGAGTTGATTTGTGGTGCCACTTGTGAGAATCGCTACCAAAGTTTTTAACATCACCCTTTTCTCTTTCTCTAACAAATATTTCTCAATGTAATCATTATTTTTCATTTTTAGTGTTTTGGAGTAGAAAATAAATCAAAAGATTGTTTCTCGATGTAATCGTTACCAAGGTTGATAGTTTTCCGATTTACAAACTTAGATTGATTATGTGAACAAACTAATAGAAGTCTTTACTTAGATTGATTGTGTGAATAGTAAAAAGGATTATAATTTTGCATGGATGACTTTGTTTCTCTCCTACTTCGTCTTAATTACCTTACTATGCTCTCATTTTAACATCGCTATTTTGAAACTTGGAATTAATGTTCAAGTGGGTGGACTAGACAAGAGCTAGCGAGAGGCCCTCGGGCATGGTAGCAAAACTTCAAGACTCTAAAGCTTTTAATGGTAATTTTCTTGAATCTTTTGAATGAATTAAAGTGTGAGATTGGGGTTATAATGATGAATTGATGATAAGATCGATTTACGAGTGATAAAAAGCCTATGGTGTATACGCCTTGATAGACATAAAGAGGTTGTCATTATAAAATGCTATCATTTGTTCTGCAATCTCTGTGTATAAATAATTATTGAAAGTGGTCACCGTAATTGTCCGGCATGTAGTGTGAGTTTTGGGCATAATGACGTGAAGCTTATCTATATCCGAAGGAATGGGAATGAGGTGTGCCAAGCTATTTGATGATGAGGGTCATTGTCAAATTTAGGTTCCAATAAGGCTTATCTAACTCGATCACCTTTACCTATGGATACCCATTGGTATGCCCTGTTACTTCATGCCTATTCTTAAGTATTATTGAGAGAATAATGATAAGAACCGGTGTAGTTCCTATCTATATCCTCCATGTGTAAATCATTTTGGATTTGATTATAGGTTGATTTCATTTAGTTTCTCGACTTCATGTATTTGGATATTGGTCTCGTAATTAACTGCTTGGAGTCTGGTGGAGTGTTTAGATTTATTATTGATGATCAAAATTGATGAATTGCCATTTCTTGAAGGCACTTGGAGGTTGTACGGGCTATCTTGGCACGTAGCTATGCTCTTGCATTTGATGTCGGTTTTCTCCATCTAGCGAAAATACTTGGTATGGAACTTAATTTTTGATCTGTACATGTTTTAGTATATACATTAAATTGTAGAAATATTAGATTACATTCTCTTATAAAATAATGACATTTATAATAATAGTTCGTGCCATATGTGCCCGACATTAAAAAAAAAAAAAACCTACGGTTAAATTTAAGATATCCTCTTTTTTTTTTCAATAATTGATAGGGTTTTACTACATCGAGTATATGCTTGCACAATCCAAGAGAATGTTTGTTGTAGACATTTGTTTTCAACACTTGGGGTGGCATTCAATGGTTGGTACAACATATTATATGTGATGACGAGGAGGTGAGGTCGCATAATCTCTATGGAGATCATTTTTTTCTTCTCTTTCTGCATTGTTTGTTCATTTCGGATTTGATGTAGGCACTCAATATTGAATTACACATAAATTTGATGAGATTGTAATTATTTTATATTTTAGTTTATATACCTTTGATTCTATCTTAATTTTCAAAATTATAATGAAAATAAAAAGATAAAGAGGGAATACACATTAAGAGGTAAATTCTCTTAAGTAGTCGACCCTTTTTACTAGTCTTAAAAATTTTGATCATACATGCTCTTATGAAATACATGAATCTATGCATGTATAAACAAATAACCGTGTGTACCAACATTATAGAGTTGCTTGGAGGGATTAGAGAGTTTCATTTATCACCTTCAATTAAGATTAGATATAATTAGATATGACTGAAATTTAGTCTCAAAAAATTTCATATCATGAGTTGGCATTCGATTTAAGAGTCTAAACAAGATTTTTCAGCATTGAATTTTCCTATTGCACACACTAATCTACAAAGTAAAATTGAATTTTCCAGCATTTTGTTTCTCTTTGTGAATGGTTTGCATGACGAAGTTCTACTCTTTCGAATTGAATTTTTCAGCATTCTGTTTCCCGCTTATAACTAGGAAATTATTATCACTATGTTAGGCTAAAAACGATACTAAAATTTTATTATAATTTATTTATTGTTGATAAATTATATTTCATTATTCACTTATTTTAAATATACTTGTCTTGATATTTATAGGAAAATGCTCGTTCTCTCCAAGCTGAGCGTTATGAAGTACAAGAAATGAAAGAGCAAGTACAAATCAATCAACATTTTTCTTTGATTTGTGTATTTTGAATAAGTGTTCAATCCCTTAGTTTTTTTTTTTTTTTTACTTTGCTTGTGAATGTTTGATGACTTTTATGTATTTAGAATTTGATAATTACAAATTTAAGAATATTCTATAAGCTATATAATTTTTCTTTTATTTACATTCAACAAGATTGACTTTTTTTTTTAAATTTATTTTTTTGACCAAAAAAAAGAAAATTGAATTCGAAGGCGAAAGTTAAACAACCGTCTCTATGAATTATAAAATCGACTTCTATTAATTCTAAAATTTGAGGCGATTGTATAAATTATATAGTAAAATTGCCCCTATAAATGTTAAATCTTACGGCGGTTACGACCATCCCAAATATTTCGCGTGAAATTTATAAAACAAACATTGGAACGTAGAGGCGGTTCTAAACCGCCCCAAACATTATGCATCAAAAAATCTTGAAAGATAAAATTGACATCGTAGAGGCAATCGAATCGTCTCAAAATTGACATAGTAGAGGTGGTTCAAACCATCGTAAGAAACTGCTTTAGAATTCTTTGGCGGTTGGAAAAATCATCTTTATACCATAAAGACGACGACATCACATACGATTTTAGGACGATTAGAAAAATCGCCTCTAGAAGATAAAAAAATGGCCTGCAATACCTTTTCTGGGTTTATTGTATGCATGGGGAAAGACATTGAATCGAATGAGACCGCAAGAAAGAAAGGTAAAGTCAAGCCAACAAACAGGAGTGGAGACAACAGGAGCTAGCCTAGTCCCATCATTATTTAGCGTCCAAATACTTTTAGCGTTCATAAGGATGAACTTAAAGAGCTGTCGACCTTCCTAAACTGAACTAAGAAAGTTCGTAGTTTATCGCTAAGAGACAAGATTTTACGTCCATTATTGTCAACATAAGTCCCAATATCTCTGTATAAAAATCCGTAGTACTGACAAATGTCTGAAGGACAGTAAAGTAGCTTGTAACCTATTTCAGCCTTCTCAGTCTTGAACCAGTTGGGAAGTGTTCCACAACCAGGATTTCCTTCAACCCCACCAGTTGTCACAAACCATTCTATCTCCGAGTTGGTAGATTTCTGAATATTGCACACTGATGAGTGGTTACAGGCCTTCTTAGAAGAAAACTTGATGTTAAGATCTTCAGATACTCGGATGACACCTTCCTTGGAGTTGGCAGGTGTGAAGGTCACTGGAAAACGGTTGTCTGAAATGGAGCTAGAATTTGGATGGAAATTGTAGGGGACTCCTGCTTCCTCGTTTTTGTCCTTCAATTTTAAAACCTCGTGTTCTTAATGGGAACAGTTTTTGTTTTGGTGTCTGCGTAAAATGTTGGCCAAGTGGGGAAATTACCTATTACCTAGATATTCATAAGCCTCTGTCCAATTCATTCGACCTCCAGTCTTTTCAAACACATGCGTGATAGATAAATATCGTTCAATGGACCACATGTCCATAAAGAACAGTCACATGCAACCACTCAGTCATCTTTTTATTTTATTTTTTATTCCAAATTATTAAAGTGACAGTGGACTACAGACATTATTTCAACCACCCATTGATAAATTACTATCGAAGATAATCAATATTGCCTAAATATCAATGGGCTCCGATATTTTATCCATGTAGTTGAATAGTATATATATATATATATATATGTCATTAACAAATAGAAAAGAATTCTAATTTCTATAATATTATAGCAATGAAAATTTCTAAAATATCTAAAAAATTAATTATTAATATTCATTCTTCACGAAGCAATGTCAAACACTGGTGAGTTGGAGATCTAAGTAGATGTCCTACATTTTATATATGAACCTATATATAGCTTTCATGAATAATCCAAAGTAAAGAACCATTATTGCCTAATTATCAATAGACTCACAAAGCATAATATTTTGTCAATATAGTTGAATAGTATTTACGAATATGATATTGAGAGATTAAATTATTTTGTATATATCATTAATGAATAGAAAAGAATTCTACTTTCTAAAAGATTATAACAGTAAACATTTTTAAAATGCTCAAAAACTAATTACTAATACTTATTTTTAGGTTTACTTTGAAGAGATAAATAAGTATATAAAAAAAGATAAAATTAAAAATAGGAAAAAAGAAAGAAAATCACTTCGAAATTTATAAAAAATGATAAAAATATTTGTATCTGGTTATACTTAAATGTAGATTGGATTGTATAGCCCAATAAATTAAGAGACAAATAGTTAAACTCATATTTAACTTAGACCCAACATCCAATTCAATCTCAAACTTTTGACCCAAAGCCCAACAATTATCTATACCCAATTGATTGAAAAGGCTTTTCAAAACCCAACATCTAATTGGAAAAGTACGATGAGAGAATAACAAAAACAATGGTTCTGGTGAGAAGATAACGAAACATAGAATTTTAACCACTTTGTATATATCATTAATGAATAGAAAAGAATTCTACTTTCTAAAAGATTGAATTGTTGTGAAACACAAGAGAGAAAAGCCCTAACAACAAAGTAATCAATAAAGATTCAATGGGAATTTAGATTGCTGACATACTCACCAAGCCATTATCCACTACTCGCTTCAGTTTTTTGCAGGACAAACTCTCTGTGGGGCCGAGACCCCATTCGGCTTCACACGCATTTGCTGATTCCGCTTCTGCAAAGGTCTCCAACACAGCTCACGGCTCTGCCTAAGTTTCAGTAGCTGCATTTCCGACAGCTCACGCCTCTGTCCAATTGGCTAAAAGAAAAGCACAAGAATAATAGATACTAGCAAACCACTGGAACAAAGAAAAGACTAAATGGATAAAATATCTACTAAACTTTAATTTATTTAAAAATCAGTTTTTAAATTTTGAATTTGATTTTTTTCAATTTGTTTTTTGTATTTAGTCCTGGCCATGTGACGAGAGTCATGTTGACTTGAACTGCAAACTAAAAATTAATCAAGGTAGCAGATAAGAAGCTCTGACTTTGGATTCCATACAAATCTTTGACATTGCAAATTGGTCAACACGCAATCAATTAATTACCTTAAATGAGAAGAACTAATTTTTAAATATATTAAAATTCAGGAGATGTTTTGACCTATTTAACGAAAAGAAAATAAAAGAATAGGGAGAGCATAAAAGAGAAGGAAGCTTGCATGCTGCGAGACAAGAGTGATACGAGGGAACACTGTAACACCCAGACCGGGGCTGGAACCTTGTTTTGGACCCCAAGTCTGGAGCTGCATTTTTTGCTTCCTTTAATTATATCAATGGGAACACATGCAGAGGGCAACAGCTAATTTTCCTAAAACAGGATGCAACGAACAGATTATCTATACAACTATAATTTATTACCCAACAAACTGTTTCCTAAAACAGGATGTTGTTTTAGACCAGCCCTTTTCCATCAAGTAACTAGATCAGATCGATCATACGGTAAGAGCTACTCAAAACTACAAGATCGGATTAGGTTTAAAGAAGACTTTGTATCTGATTGTATGGGTAGTCAAGCCACCAGTTTTAGATGTCACTACACAACTCCTTCAAAAGTTGTTATCACCATCATGCATGCATCCCATTGAATTGCTAACTCTATAAATTCAAGCCTCTTCTATTACATTCTTCACAAACACATCAAACACGAGAAAATAACACATAACAATAATGAGAGCTGCATTTGTAGTGTTGTCTTTCCTTCTATTTGCCTTAGCTGCAAAGCCATTGCCTAGGGTAGCGGGTGATGCTGCCCCGAGCCGGTGCTTGACATCGCTGGTAAGATACTTAGAACAAATACCGATTACTACATCCTGCCGGTGATCCGTGGTAGAGGTG